CCTCAAAAAATTTCAGCGATTTCTAACCATTTTGCGTTAGCTGAGCAACCTCCTTAAAGAAGGGCGCGGGGCTGTCAGAAATGCACGGCGGCGGTTCAGCGTGACGCGCCGCTCCCCATTGCCGCTTGTAATAAACAACTCTCTGCGCGCCTAGTAACGATCGATCGATCTCGCCGCACATTTGAATTGGGCAGTGGGCCGGCCTAAGGCAGCGATTTTTAATAATTAATAACTCGTTAACTATTGCAAAACCTGCAAAGTGATACAGGACTTTTCGACTTGGTCTAGTCCACTCTATCCCACAATAAGCGTTAATGCGGTTATTACATAACACCCTGTATATATGTGAATATATGCTACACATTAATATTGCTATGTAATGCGTAACAAAAATTATATTTTTCGAAATATTTCGGGGTCCTGGTATTTTTTCCTCACTCTGTATATATGTATATCATAATTCAGAGTCACAGTCGATCGCTGCATGTTCACTTTGTACTATTGATCGCGCTTATAACGCGAGCGCCACGTTACGTCAAAAAATGATCGCGCTTATAACGCTAGCGCCACGTTACGTCAAAAATTGATCGCGCTTGTAACGCGAGCGCCACGTTACGCCAAAAATGTGAGAAGGAAATTTCTCCCTCCACTGGCCTGGTTGACGACGACGACGACGACGTTTCTTAAAGTGAAAAATCGGGAAAATTAATAACATCCTATGTTTCCGTCGCAATACCTCCACTCATAGAGCACGTAGGAGAAAAATAATAACACTTTTATTATGCAAATCGAACCCAAGCTATCGATTGAGGCCACTCATTGTCAGAAGTTCGCTGGATCAGCCGTTGTCGAGATCCGAAAATCTGAGGGCCTGTCAACTCGCGTACTCGCGTAAACGACACGGTCGGTCTCGCGCGCGCGTTCTAGCTATACGCTTATACTTGGCGCGAGACACTACTGTGTCTCGTGATTCGGTAATTTCATTTTTGCTCTATTTATCGACGGGAGTAATTTTATATGCAAAAAGAGAGCGTTGCAGGATACGTCAGGGTGTTGTACTAAAAAAATATGCGGGGAAAAAAGAGAGATGAGAAATAAAATTATAGCAGTGCAATAAGGTATCAGAAATAACACTAATAATTTAATATTCCGCGATTAAAGTCCCGAGCCCGTATTAATTCTTGACGTGAAAACGGTTGGAGCGAACCGCGCCGGACCTTTCGGACGTTTCGGCTCGCCGGCTAAATCTCGTTGTGTCCAATTTTATATATTGTACCGGTCATCAGTGGCGCAGCATTGGCTTTTTTGCAACGGTATCGCCGTCGTCTCGCTTGGCTCGGGTAGCCGGTTTCAGCTTTGGGTATAATGCACAACCACATTCCGCGACGATCTCGCTCGTTGATGTTTGTAATCTCTCCGGTTTATCGCTTCGGGACACTCTTACTCTCTGTTTACTATTGTTATCCACGTGCGATTTTACGGTTTAATATACCGCAGGGGGATTATCGACTAACCGAAGGGAAACGGCACGCTTGGTGGGACGCGCGTGGAACTTTGCTGCGGCGCGGTTCGCAAATTCAAGCTATGCAGTTTATTTAATTATGGAAACGACATATTATACATGCGCGACAGTGGAATTGGGAGAAGGCGATAGTCTGAAACTCCCTCTTAGAGGCAGAGAGCGCCGTTTCGTCAAGTGTGTTTGCTAATGTTCCCCGCATCAGAGTCAGCGTACTTGGCTGCGAAGTATCGCGCCTCCTGCGAGGTAACACGTTCGCGCCGGGACCGAAGGATCTCGTTATGTCTGGGTCGTACGGGCGGCCTTAATCGAGAATACAAAGTAGCAATCATTCAAGACGGAATTGCCGGCGCGTCGCGACTATATTGTCGAGTGTACGAGCCTGGGCTGGGCCGAGCAGGCAGGCCAGCCAGGCCGGATCGAGGAATGCCACAAGGTAGCATCGCTCGAATGTGTGTTGAAGCACACGCAGGCCCCGAATACATCGATATGCGCTCGGGTCTATGTATAAGGCGTCCCAGTGCTTCGGCCTTTGGAGGGCGAATGGCTAAGCAACCTTGGAGAGAGTGTTGGGAATGTGCCGGCCGTTGCAACTTCTTAAGTAGGCTACCCAGAAGCGATGAATCCCGGCCGCGTCCCTTTGTGCCGCGCGTTGCCTGCGTACCGGGTGCAACCTCGCGACACACGTGTTGCCACCTTGCAAATTTGTCGCGTCTCTCCCGCCCCTCCTCGCGTCGCCACGTATAATTTCTGCCGCTGCGAAATACGATCGATGGCGTTTCACGGAAGGAGCGTTTCGTTGATTCTTGAATTTGTTAAAATGCGCCACCACCGGGCGTTGAGCGGCAGAAATGTACAATCGGATGCATTAATCGGGTGCGGCGCGTGCTTGCATTCGACGGTCAAATTTCTCGGTAATATTCCCGAGACGTACCTTTTCGCTTACATAATTAATCGTTTGGTTCAACGCTCGCCTCAGGCTCGCAAAGAAACGCGCCGCGAAATGTCCCGGCGAACGCGAGCACCTTAGGGCACCCGATCGCGCGATAAAAGCGTCGTGCGCACCTTGTCACCGCTCATCTATATTTGCGCATTTGTGTCACGTTAACCGCTACTGTTCGCAAAAGAGTCAACTCGCGATAATAGTTGTTTGTAATTGGTAATTGATTATACGGTGACAAGATGGCTAAAAATAGAAGGGAGATAAAGCACGCGCTAAAGATAATATACAAAATTTTAACACACGCGACGTCGCGCTCAACTATATCGCTGCTTAGTCGTTGCTTATCGTAATTTTAAAAGGTCTCCAGGCAGACAGAATTTCCTCGATATTCTTTTCTTCTTTTTTTTCTTGTCTCGCGACTTGGACTGCTTAATACAACGCTCGAGAATCCTTGCGCGAACCCCCGTTGTCGTTCCGCTCTGCTGCGCCGCACTGCTTACGCGCGGTACGCACGCGGATAGTACGCTCTCGCCGTTGCCGTACGCATGCACCGCGTCGTGCAATTCGTTATGAATGAAACCCTCGCATCTCCTACGGCATCGCCTCGCCTCGCCTCGCTTCGTCTCGCTTCGTCGCCGTCAGCACCGCTGGCTTCAGCAGCTTTGACGCGACGCGCCTCGGCTAGGCATAACGCCTTCTCGTATGATGTTACAAGACCAAAGTAATTATGCGACTCGCATAATTAATTAATTGCGCTCCTCGACTGTCTGGCACCTACGTTGAAAATGTCTGAAAGTAACTGGTCGTCCGAGCCACTATTAGGCGAGACCTTTTCCCTCTCGTTTGGACGAAAGAAATTCACGCTAGGTAGCCGCATTTTATAAACGAGACTACGCAATCTCGGGTATTTCTTTGTTTACCAGTGCAATTCAATGAGAATGTACATAAACGCGCGAGTGAAATTATTAACCGAACGGTAAGCAAGATACACATTGTGTTTGCAGCGTCTCTTCAGTGCGTCTTCTTTAAAGCTCGGCGACGAGTGACAGGAAACAAATGTCCGGTGATAATATTGCCAGCGCACCTGTCGACGACGTTTTTATTGCGTTCGAACATGTGCGTTGATCATGCATTTTGGCAACGCGCGACTAGACCGGCAGCTTCGGCAAGACGTGGCTTTTGCGATGTTGTACGCGCCTCGGCTAGACGACTCGTAGATAACTTGAAGGACAGTGACACGCTGTCAATTATTCTCGAGTACAAAATAATTTATGAATCTGGCTCCGCTTATCGCGCGTTAATGCTGAAAGTCGTTACCGATAACACTATTACTCTTCACTACTCCTCGAATTAGAACGTATTCCTGCGGACAAGCTGTTGACGCTTAGGAGAATATTTCGAAAATATCCTCGCGTTTCTTCCCTCGGGTAAATCGTACATTGCCGCGCAATCGTGGAAGACACGTCGTTTATCACGAGATTATTTTGCGAAGGGGGGCTTAGAGGGCTCGCGCGTCCCAGGTACGCGCGCGGCGCATCCCTCCGTGATGAAATCGTCTCGATAAAGCGGTCCTGACAGCAACAATACAGCTCGCGCGAATAATGACGGAGGAACGCGCCGCCTCTTGTTTATTTCGACGACAGCTGGTGGCGCGGCGAGTATTTTTAGCGTTTCCCTCGTTGAAATCGAGCACGTCGACTCGACAACGTTCCGTTACGTCCGTTCCAACACGACGATTAGCGAAACCAAGGAAGCAAGCCGCGCGCGGTTTAATGCACCGCAGCACCGGCTTGCCCGCTGCACGTTGACGCAGCCGCGTGCCAGACGTGACTTGGCACTGGGGAATGCGTTCGGAATCGCAAAAAAATCACACCTTATCGATCTCCCAGTTTAGATTTTTATCGGATCGGCGCGAGACAATTTTCATCAGCCAGTCTACGATTTCGTTTCACCATTACGACGTAATTGCAACTTTGCAGGATGAAAATTTCGTTTGAACGAGACTCCGGCAGCTCGGAAGAAATCATATTCTTTTATGGAAATAAATATTGTCTTAAAATTTCTTAAAACTCAAAGCGTGACTTCGACGCAAGATAAAGACAAATTGTTAGTTCAATCTTATTATATCTCGTCCAATACACATCTCTCGATACTTTTACTTGTGTTTAACAATTAACAATGCAACTTCAATTGACTTTGCACTCTTCAGCCAAAGAGTGCAATCATTTTTTCACTAGTATCTTACTAACACGACGATATTGGCCAAACGAACGACATAAGATTGTTAACAATTGTGTGAACAGATTACTTGAAAAGGGTCCAAATCTGGGACGGAAACGTCGGTTTTTTTAAAAAATAAAAGCATTGGCCAGTGTAGGTCGTTTTAAAAACTACATGTCAGACGATATTACGGTAGTCAGGTCCACGTGAGTGGTTTTTTTCCCTCAAATTTAGCGAGCTTTAGTCAGCGACAGTTTTTTTGCACGACAATTATTGATTGAAATGGTACAGTTAACGTGCAAATTTCCTCTGTTGCAGTGTGCCAAAGTATAGACATAAGAAATAGCGTGAGTCAATTCTCAAAACTGGAGGGATGCCGGGTGGTCGAGGGCTTCATACAAATTCTCTTGATCGATCGAGCGGAGCAATCGGCCTACGCCAATCTCAGCTTCCCCGATCTAGTCGAGATCACTGGATACCTTATTTTATACAGGTACAACTGTTTGCAACTTGATAATTTAGGAGCGCAGCTATATCAAGTACACGTTACATCCCTTTGCGTTACTTACGTTATGCGTAGCGTTTTTAGTTTCATACACTTGCTCCGATATTTATTTTATACCTAATTTTAGCAGGTGGGCTTCGTAACGACAACTTTCTGTTGGCGCCCCTCACCTTTTGCTTTCGATCTCTCAGTGTTACTTTCCTTCACTGTATCTCACTTTTGCAGCAATGAGTTCAAATTAAATTAAATTATCGCTTCAAAGAGACGTTCTCTCGTTAACAGACAATTATTCGTATGCTTTAGCCTCGCATTTGTTTGCTCGTGTTTCCAGGGTAAACGGACTGAGGGCCGTCGGCCATCTGTTTCCGAATCTGACGGTTATCCGCGGTCACTCTCTCTTTATCAATTACGCCCTCGTGGCATTCGAGATGATGCATCTCCAGGAAATCGGTCTCCACTCTCTGACCAACATTCTACGCGGATCCGTGCGATTCGAGAAGAATCCAACGCTCTGCTACGTCGACACCATCGACTGGGACATGATCGCCAAAGCTGGCAAGGGAGGGCACTTTATAAAGGTGGGTAGTCTTTACGTTGTTTTTATCTCGGCGCAACACACTTATGAATAGGAACGACAGATTATTATTAGAAAGATTCGATGGCCAAGACAAGCAAGTTTATTCAAGTCTCGAGCCGACAATTCTATCTTTACCCGGCGTCATTCGTCGAGAAATTTGCATTGGCAATTTGCATCGACATCAAAATGACACAGCCGTTTATCGTTGACCGTCGGGCTCTTGTTTCGATAAGATTGCGCAAGCTTCTGGTGACAATATTTGAGCCGAATGGAAGCGCTACAATGCGCGCGACTCGTCACGCTTCGCGGCGTCTTTCCTATCAATGAGTTGTTAAGAGACAAGAAATCTAAAGCGGAAGCGGCAGAAAATTACTTCATTCACTTGACAATGAATGAAGTGCGCGTTGTACGAGGTGCCGTAATACACCGTGGAAATTCGTGTAACGAAGCCGTGAGAAATGACGGGACGTAGCGGTGACGCGACGCTTTGCCATAATACGATACGTGCCTTCCGAAGCAATCAAATCGCACGATTAAAGGCCACGCAATGACTGCGTATCTACGGTCGAAGAGTATACGAATACAACATGATAGATATCTGTGGCTATACAACTAGTTGTGCGTAAACTTCCCTTTTCACTCGTTCGAACGATCAATCAACTTTCGCGTTGTGCTCTATGCTCTCTGTACAAGTAGTATCGAATATCTCGTGAAAAGCGTATCGTTGCGAGCAACGGCCACGGTATTGATCATCGAATACGAGCCTTTCGCAATGTGTTTTTCGACCTTCGTATCGGCTCCAACGTAGTATATAGTCTTGTTTCTTCTCTTACTTTCTTATACACAGCTCTCCGCGGTAGCGAAAGAATTTCCTAAAAAAAAGCTTAACACGTCCATTTCTCCTTCTTCAAGTACGTACAGATTACATTTCGTTGATTCGCAACGGCATTTCAAGTGATAAGATACGTAGGTATAGAATAAAATCAATTGTACAAAGAGATGATAAGGTGGCCGAATGAGATTCCAACGTTGTATCTATGTATAAAAGCTATCGGATTAGAAATGCTAATGTATTTTCATTGTCTCAACACTTAACTGTACCAACACTTCTCGTGCCGATTTAAGTAGCCGCAAGCACTTTATAATTGACAATGAGTCACGATAGCACACGACGGATTTTGAGAGCGTTGGAAATAAATATGTTACAAAAACACCATATTCCCTTGGAGAGAAATTGCAAGGGAAAATTACGCGAAAATAAATAAGTAGAATTGTGTTACGATGCATTTGTATTTTGTTTATAGGACAACAAGCCAATGAACGGTTGTCCGATGTGCGACAAAAGATGTCCGACAAGGCAAACTAAACCCGATCAGACTCTGTGCTGGAATTCACACAACTGCCAACAAAGTAAGCTATTATCGGCGATCGATTGTACTCGTGATTACATTATTATATAGAGACCTTCCGCATCGAATCTCTTGAGCTGGGGTTCCCTGTAGTAAAATTGCCACGGGCAACAGCGCTTATGTAAAAAACTGTAGAGCTTATATACTTTATCTCTTCAAGTGTCGTGTATAAATACATGCAGTTAAAATCGCGAGTTATTTATTTATTGAATTGACGAGAGAAACGCGGAGGAGTTTGGCATCTCTTTTTAATACGACGAAATTTGTTTTTGCAGTATGCGATCGAACGTGCGAGAATAGAGCTTGCAACAAGACAGGAGAATGCTGTCATCAGTCCTGTCTGGGTGGATGCACGGGATCGACGGCCAACGATTGCGCTGTTTGTAGAAACGTGGTAGTGACAGACAAGGTGTGTGCAGACCATTGCCCGGACGGCATGTACGAGTTTATGAATCGACGTTGCATCGGAGAGAAGGAATGTCGTCAGATGCTGAAGCCGCGCGAGACGTCAAATATGGTCAAGATGCGTCCGTACAAGCCGTTCAACGGTAGCTGCGTATTAGAGTGTCCAGCGGGTTATATGGAGAGCGAGGAACGTGGCAGTGTGTCCTGCCAGAAGTGCGAGGGTCGATGGTGCCTGAAGGAATGCTCTGGCTCGAACGTGGACAGCATCGCTTCGGCACAGAAATTGCGCGGATGTACGCATATCGCAGGTAGCATCGAGATACAGATACGCAGTGGCAAGAACATGGTGAAGGAACTCGAAAACAGTCTAAGCATGATCGAGGAGATAGACGGTTATTTGAAGATTGTCCGCAGCTTCCCGCTGATATCCCTCAACTTTCTAAAGAATCTGCGCGTGATACGTGGCAACCAACTCGAGAACGGCAAATACAGCCTCGCCGTGCTCGATAATCAGAATCTTCAGGAGCTCTGGGATTGGAACACACACCCGAACATCACTATCCTGTCCGAGAAAGGTCCCGCCAAGCTCTTCTTTCACTTCAACCCGAAATTGTGTCTGCATGAGATCGAAAGATTGCGGGAGAAGGCCAGGTTGGAAGAGTTCACCGATCACGACGTGGCATCTAGCAGCAACGGAGACAAAGTCGCTTGTAACGTCACCGAGCTGACCCCTAAGGTCATCAAGAGATCATCTAGGGCAGCTATTATCGAGTGGAATATCTTTACGCATCACGATACCAGGTCTCTTTTGGGCTACGTTGTTTACTTCATCGAAGCGCCTAATCAGAACGTAACGATGTACGATGGCCGCGATGCTTGTGGCGGTGATGGCTGGCGGGTGGAGGACGTTTCCGCTGAGACTGCGCCGTCGCAGTCCAACAAGAGCACGGAATTGCAAGAGACTTCCTTGCTCACTCATATAATGACTCTGCTGAAGCCATATACTCAATATGCTTATTACGTTAAGACTTACACCATAGCCACGGAAAGGTCAGGCGCGCAGAGTAAAGTTAACTACTTTACGACGATGCCGGATGCGCCCAGCCCGCCCAGAGGCCTCTCGACTTGGAGTAATTCCAGCAACGAACTGATTATATCCTGGTTTCCGCCGCTACACAAAAATGGAAATTTAACGCATTATCGAATTGTCGGTCGATGGGAACCCGATGATCCCAGTTTCATCGACCAGAGGAATTATTGCGACGAACGTAAATAAAATCACTTATTTTACTTCAGTACAGTAATATAATAATAGTAAAAAGAAATTCTTTTTTTAATACAAATGTTGATTTACGCTGTTCAACAAAATGACCTGTTTTTTTTTTTCAAGCGAAAGATTGAGGACAATCGTTTCCCGTAATTTTTTTGATAGAGCAATTTGGTAAAACGGGATAGTATTCAGCACCCAAAAAGCGATTTCCTTCTTTCTTGCATTTTACAAAAATTGAGTAATGTTGTTACATTAATATAAGCGCGTTAAACTTTTTGATTTCTCAACATATTTTTACAGCGAAAATTAAGTTAATTGTCAAGAAATTATTACTAATTTCAGCTATGCCATTGCCCGAGACAAAATCACCAGAGGAAGTCACAATGGAGGAAGAAAAAAAGCCCGAAACAGAGAAGGAGTTTACAAAGTCCGATTCATGCAGCTGTACAGATCGTGAAATGACGGATCAGTGGATGCGTGAGAAAGAAGTTTCCAGTTCGATCGCCTTCGAGAACGCGTTACACAATCAGGTCTATATAAAACGAATATCATCGCGCAGAAGACGTTATACTAATGAAGTCGCGGCGAGTCAAGCTGAAAATTCTTCATACGATCCAGTAAAATTTCAGGTTTGCTGAAATCAGTAATGATTATTAGTTATAAGCAAACAAATATAACGGCGATGAAATAAATTGCATATCGAACTTTATTTACTTAATCATTTCTGTATTTCATATCGTGCATGAATTGATTACTCGGTAGAAATAAATAGCGATAAAAGTATCAGTACGAAATGAATCAATAACAATATTTGATGGACTGCATTCAGTTATACGCATATTTTACATCGTCATTTAAAATTGAATGTGATTCTCGATATTTTATGTTCAGGCTAGGGAAAGCGCTAACAACAAAGCGGAGAATGGTACATTCATAGTATTCGAGCGATCAGTACCCAGCACGAATCATAGTTTCGTTATGAAAAATCTTCAACACTTTGCTGCATACAATATTGAGGTTCAAGCTTGCCGAGAACCAGTTGAAAATGATACGACTCAAAATTGCTCAACGAAAAGTATGAAAACGCACCGTACGTTACCGATGGACACCGCAGATAATATTCCACCGGACACCTTTAAATTGAAGTATTCTGGCGAGAATAACAGTCTCACTGTAATTACGTTGTCTTGGGATGAACCAGCTCAACCCAATGGCCTAATAGTCACGTATCAGATTGAATATAAAAGAGTTGATATAAAAAATGTGAGTAACATACTTTTTAGGTTTTATTTATTAAGCTAAATTGTAAACGAGCATGTTTTTGACGAGCAACAAGGAAGAACTTGACGAAAGATATATTTGTAAAAAGGTTCTGTTGAGGAAGGGAGGGATAACTTGTAATTTAGAATTTTACAGTGTATCTTGCACATGTTGTTGCAATATAATCGTTTTTTTTACATTGTACAGATAAAAGCAACGGTGGTATGTATTACAAGACGCGATTTTGCCGAGATGGGCAACTTGTACGTCTTAAAGGAGCTTCCCACTGGAAATTATTCTGTAAAAGTACGAGCTACGAGCTTAGCAGGAAATGGCGCATATACCGAAATAAAATATTTTTCTATACCGGAATATGGCACGTTTAATACATTCTGGGTTTTCTTCTGGTCGATATTGGGCATTGTCATAATGTTCAGCTCTTTGACAATATTCTACGTATTTAAGAAAAGATCAATGCGAAATGTGCCCAGCATGAGGCTTATCGCAACAGTGAATCCAGAGTACGTGAGCACGAGTTACGTACCGGATGAGTGGGAGGTGCCCAGAAAGAAAATTCAATTATTACGAGAATTAGGGAATGGTTCTTTTGGTATGGTATACGAAGGATTGGCCAAGGACGTCGTAAAAGGCACGCCGGAAGTACGGTGCGCCGTGAAAACTGTAAACGAAAACGCAACCGACCGTGAACGGATAGAGTTCCTTAACGAAGCGTCCGTCATGAAGTACGAGAAATTAATTGCTTCCTCTCTAGCGATATATCTTTCTATCTGTATTCTAACTTATTATATTTTTTCTCGTTGAAGGGCTTTTAACACCCATCACGTTGTTAGACTACTGGGTGTAGTGTCGCAAGGTCAACCTACATTGGTAGTTATGGAATTGATGGTGAACGGCGATTTAAAGACGTATTTAAGAAGTCATCGACCGGACGTGTGCGAAAACTCCAAACAACCTCCGACGTTGAGAGAAATCTTGCAAATGGCGGTCGAAATTGCGGACGGCATGTCTTATCTCTCCGCGAAGAAATTTGTTCACAGAGATTTGGCTGCTCGCAATTGTATGGTAGCCGAGGATCTCACTGTAAAGATCGGTGACTTCGGCATGACAAGAGACATATATGAAACCGATTACTATCGAAAAGGATCCAAGGGACTGCTACCAGTTAGATGGATGGCACCGGAAAGTTTGAAGGACGGCGTATTCACCAGTTTTTCTGACGTTTGGAGCTACGGAGTTGTTCTGTGGGAAATGGTAACGCTAGCTTCGCAACCGTATCAGGGTTTGTCGAATGATCAGGTGAATACGAATTCTGCGATAAAATAATGTTCGGTTATTACACGTTTCTCTAAATTGTGTGTATGTTTTTTTAAAGGTATTGCGTTACGTAATTGAAGGAGGCGTTATGGAACGACCAGAAAATTGTCCTGACTCACTGTATAATTTAATGAGGCGTACCTGGAATCACAGAGCCACGAGAAGACCTACCTTTATAGACATCGAGACGCTGTTATTGCAAGAAGTTAGTATAAAAGATTTTGAGAACGTTAGCTTTTATCATAGCCTGGAAGGAATCGAAGCTCGAAATCAAAATAGTTCGCATTCACCACAAAATGATCAGTAAGTATATAACATTTTATATTAATTAATATAATAATTTGCACATTTGAGTAGTAAAATATGTGTAATTAAATTGTTCAATTTAAACAGAGATCTTGAAATGGTTCCTCTACAAGATTTACCGGAGGAAGAGATAGAGGGGGAGGAAAATTCGCCACTGCGTCAAGACTTTGGTGACTTTGCAAGTTTTGAGCCTCGCAGTATTAAAAATAACTTAAGTCCACGATACGGAGCAGATTCGTACGGCGAAACCTCAAAAGCTATTTCCAATTTCCATGACATGAATTCTACAAAAGTACCCAAAGCTGGATTCGATGAATTTGGCGGTATCTCCGGAGACTCGCTCGTATCTAGTAAGGACACGTTAAACTCGCCTTTTGTAGAAGGCAGCCTTAAATCAGTCAGGAGCTCGCCTTTTATATATAAGAAAAGTACTTCCCGCAGTAACGTAAGTCAAGGTTCTCTAGGCAAGCCTGCAAGTCCACAAAGTTTAGTTAAGCGACATTTTTTCGATAGCCCAAATCTGTCTAAATTTCGGGACGATCCCGATTACGAAAATAGGAGTCCTGAAATCATGTCAGGCATCGAAAAAAAGGAGATTACTTCTTTACACGTAGAATTTCCATCAGTGGACGTTATGGATATTCAGATTAATGGTGACAAAACAGAAAACAACAAGCGCACTGGAGACTATATGAACAAATCGGAAACATTGAATAACGGTTACATCGGCAATACGGCTACGTAGCTTTGCTGTACGAAATTTGATCACTTGGAGTGAATCGGACATGAGTATTCCAACAAAAAGGCAGTGTCTGTGCCAAATTTATGAGCATACTGGATTATCGTTTTGAAAAGGATTACATTGAGCAGTGTTTTCTGTATATGAAAGGGATGTTGGTGTGTTCTAGCTAACATACAAGTTATACTCATAAGTCTATATTTTAAACGTCTAGACGTAACTAAGAGTACAGGTCCTAACAAACAAGTGGAGTTTCCTCATACGGGTGTTACCATGTCTTAATTCCGTCTCTCTAAATGTAATTAATATCGCTACGCGTGTACAGCTAATTATATATTTGTTGCGCTGCGATGCATGTTGGAAAAGAGCAGCGAATATATTTATATCAGATACTGTCTTTTTGAAGTTGTCGCTAGTATAGTACATGTTAATACGGAGAGTTTACTTTGTACTCTAAAGACGCCGTTACCGTGGAGTTATTACAGACAGTTGCGATGTCAAATGTCTCTCCTTGAAATTGAGCCACCGAAACACGCGGCTGTCCATCGGCAATGCACATTTCCTGCTGACAAGCATATAGTAATTTCTCTCCCCATTAACTAACTAGCGTGTAAGCGTGTATCAAAGAATTAAGCAGGTTTATTATTTGTATCATAGACTTTATCGTTTATTTTCAGTCGCAAGGTGCGCTTTTTGCGCAATTTCTGCTGTAACTATATATTTGTATAGCATTGGTTTACTTTTTTCCCCCGAGTTTATAGTAAATATGGTAAATCAAAGTGGCAATTAGGTCGACTACCGCGTTGGTACGACATTTTGTTCACAGCAAAAGACCACATTTTATAAATTTTGTGAATTACGCCTAGTCGCCACTTTGCATGATTTTAAGCTTTGAACTCGTATAGTGATATAGATATGTTGGAAAGTATGTAAGTAGAGGGGGTGATTCAGAATAAGTGTACGGACTTAGCAAATATATCGCGTTCCTCTAATTTATAAATTTCTATTATATTTATGTTTTCTACATTGTTTTAATATTTTTGACTTTATTGTATCAGTTGATCTAAGAGTTCTGAATCCACCAATTGTTCGATACATAGTAGGAGAATAGAGAGTAAGGGTCCTTCTTTTTTTCTAATTGCAAAGGCTTTTCAGTAGCGATCGTACGATTAATGTGCATTTGCGATATATTATAGTTTGCAAAGAGTTCATAGCTTCTATTTTAATCCTTTTACTATAATTATAAAATCTTAAATGAAAACAAGTAGTATCTAATCTTTAGATTCACAATATTAATGTTATTCTTTTAATTTGAAAATTCTATCATGTTTAAATGCTGTAAAAATACTGGTATTAATTTAAACGGCGCCTTATCCTCGTTTCTCATTCTAGACAATCTCGCGAATATAGAGATCCAAAAGAAACAAATAAGACGAAGCTATATGTATGTTCGAAAAGTTTCAGGGCTGAAGAAATTAACGATCACAATAATATGTAAAAGAAGGCGTGTTCATCTGTCCTAATGCGAACTTTACTGAATCTGGTGCATTAAGTCATTTCGAAACGAGCAATAAGTAATTCTGTAAAAATATTCTTTAAGTTGCTATTGCGCTTCTGAAATTTTCCCGACATACCTTGTACATATGACATAGGCTATATGCTGTGTACGTAACTGTACTATTTCGTGGAGCTGGCATATGAAATCGCGCTTTGCCTCCTACAATATGCCTCTTCTAATATCTTCCACTCAGGAGGAAGATACAGTATATTTCTCACTGCGAACCAATACCACTTTTCGACTGAAAGTTAATATACATATTCCGCAAAGATTCACCGTGCAATCTACAATCGTGAGTTTATAGTCTCCATATCGTGCAATAGGATCATCCACAGTATTTATACACCGTAAACGACTACAACAGTCCACGGCGTAAGATATCGCTCTTAATCCGTTGCGTAATCGTTTCTGCGTTGCTCCACGAAATAAATTATGAAATTCAGAGGCATGCACCATGCTTATGAAGTAGAGAGAACGTAGACTGTCCTAGAGCCCAGTGAGAAACAAGATTGACGACGGACGAGAAAAGGTTGAACCCGTGTAGTCGTTACAGTCGCGAGACTAATAATATATTGGATGAATCCTAACGGAAAATGAGCTGAGGAAAGAGTTATTGTAATACGAGCAACGCAACGTAATGCAGTTGAGTCTAGACATAACGAGCCTCTAACACAAGACTGATTAGCTAATCCCACTATACATCCGTAATCTCTCAGTAAGTTAAAGATGCAAGATAAAATGGTAGAAGTTCCAGACTGTTCCATATCCGCAAACGCCCTCCTTTTGATGATTTATTTCGTTTGTTCTTACACTGCGCATCCGTTTGAAGGTATATTTAGCCCACTACGAGATTTATTAGTGCGATCCATGGTTGTTTCGTTCCTACAATATCGCGCGCATACGATCGTGCCACTTTGATTCGATGCTTGCTCAGAGTAAATGCGGCGAAGCAAAATGTACACATATATACACATATATATATGGGGTATCTGAAATCATTGTACAATTTTTCACACGCATAAATTGTGTGACATTAATCGTTTGACGATGCTATTTAAACAAATATTCTTCGTTGGAATCATTTAACTTGAATATTTCGTATTCAATTCATTAAATGGTCACAAAATCACATCTTTATTAAATTTTTGTTAAATAAAACTATTTTTTCTTGACACTTACACACACACGCACACACAAAATATCTAATAATGTATAAAATAAGTAAAAATATTATCTTATGGTGCAATTCGAAATGAAAAAAAAATACAATTATGTAATACATTATTTGTTATGTATACAAATTTTATTATTTATTATATTTAAATGTAGCTTGCGTAAAATTTTTCCAAGTTTTCTCAAAACCAACCGTTTGAAAATAATCCTGAACTTAAAAAAAATTTTTTTTATAAAAATATAGTAACACTTTAGTCTCTCAAGATACCCTATATACTTTTATCAACGAACAAATTACCAGTGACCTAATAGCACATGTCTAATGCTATTCCTTACACAGTTTGTATAAATTGTACATTGGATGTAAAGAAGAGTCGCAACATCACAGTTTGCGTACAGACGTAAGGTGTCGCGACAGATATAAGGAAGAAAAATGTAATTAGATAAAATGCGTGAAAAGCTTAAATTCTGTAGTGCGTGTCACCACTTCTTATTTAGGAATGTCCACTATTCAGTCTCTTTTCTTCTCCATCGCTTTTAGCGATTCTAGGCTAACGATCAAGCAGTTATCGCACTGTCTTTTCTTACGCGCCCGGAAATTCTGTTCACTTCCAACGTGCCAAGCTAAACGATTATTTATCGAAATGCTGTTACCTCTGATTGTGTAACGCATTCTGAACTTTTGACGAAATAATCAAATTATATCGGGATAGCGTACTTACAACCTTGCGTCACAGCACCTTTTTTCATCCCCTCGCAATTCTGACGATTTCATTTAATATACATTATACATAATCCGTTTCTTCCGTTCAGTTTAAACTGTTTGTTTTTTTTTTAAGGCGGAATGCTTTAATACGCGCAAGAAAATGCGCGTTTCAACACGAAAGGTGGTAGAAAGCCAGGTGCGCGTTAAACGGAATTCCCGGAGAGCAGAGAAGGAACGTGGCTAACGACGGATTAATTATCGGCCGATGTATCGTAATAATAAGCCTCGCTCGTATTGTGAAGTATCTAGTATAATAACAAACAAGCGCAGTTAACGCTTAGACCATGTACATGTACTATATACGAAATAAGTATCGTAAGATTAACACGAAATGTTTCCTATATGGCCGCGAGTCTCCGTATTATAAGAACGGCACGCGATCGCTAAACTTTAGGCCTATAGTTTAATAGCTCTGTAATATATTAGAGTAACTTGAAGATTTTAAGGTAGCACGTAATCATGTGTAATTATAAAAGTGTGCAGAAGTGTGTGCCTGTTGAATCGCTTGATTTGACAAGCGTGTGATCTGTTTGAACGTTATACGTAAATCACAAAGCAGAGATTTGAGGGTGTCGATGATGCCGATAGATCAATGTACATCTGTATCAATGTTGGGAAAAAGGTCGTCGAGTATCGGGCATGAGGCAGAAACGGCATTTATCGTAAAAACAATAAAATAAAGTAAAATTTAAGCGACGCCCCGACTGCGTCGCGAGAATAATTAAGTCCTCCGCTGATTTTAGACTGAAGCATAACTCCTAATCATCCTCGGCGTCGAGAAACCCTGACATAGGATTACTCCATCTCAATCCGTTAATTTATTTGTATTTATTCTGTGTAAAGGCAGACGAGTTTAGCGCAAACGCAATTTTGAGACGCTATCGATTAGTTAATATTTAACGCACCTGTTACAAATATATGAGCATTACACGGCGACTCGATTCCTTTCGCATCCGTTATCACGCCCTTCGTACTCCGAACACGTTACATCAATATCATTACCTTAGAATTCAGGAGACGCATTGATTTTTACATTAGGGGATATATTCCGGGTCACGTTTTGCAACTCGACATTTTTGTTGTACGCAATTCTTTTGTTACGAATACATTTTTACGGTATATAATAAAAAAAACTTGCAGTAAAAATAAAGCCCTGATCACGAGATTTCTTATTGCGACAGCAATGACTTCAATTAACATCCCACATACTGCTTTTATTCAGATTCTTGTCTCATTTTAAATACCGTTCGCAATTCTGTTCGCAGTTCCTATCATTACTATATTTACACAAATAATAGACGAGATCTCTGATATAACGTCGTGTATGATATCGCAAAGCGTTATATAAATGTAATCTAATATGTAATTTCAAATCATGTTTATGTTCTATTACTCTGTTCAGCCAATTTACTATTTTTTTCACTTTGCGAGATAAGTTATGCGATTACCCCCAACTGCTCAATATTAGATTGCTCAAGTTCCGCGACAATGAGATAATATCGTAAAATGATTTAGGATATTGTATTGTGTTGTATAAAATATGTAAGTCTTTTTATTTCAACTGAATTAATGAAACATTTTGTTCTCTTTTATAGTCTGATTTTCGTCATAGATTTTATTATACAAACTTACTTTTTTTTTAAATATAATAAGATCACGTTAGTTTCATTTTTGAAAAGAGTAAACAGCTTAGGGCTGACAGCAAATTAGATGATCGCGTTGCGGAGTTATTCAGGATAATTGCAAGCTTTTGTATGTTCGTTTGATAGGTTTAGATTTTTCAAAGAAGACCACTTCAAAAACCAGTTAATTTTTCATCGAAGTTGCGCGCATTTTAACAACGCGCGTAGTGTCCAATCGTTCCTATTGTATGAACACATCGACACTTGTATTTTGATTAGATCTTGTTACACGCGACAACTGGTATGTACATGTATAATACTGTTAATTACATGTTTTCTGTGCCTATCGTAGAACTATCGCTCATAGAATATACGCGTTTATTTAAATAAACGTGCATACGCTTCAGTTGTTCATTGTGTTCACGCAGTATTACGATAGTATATATATCACAGAGATTTATTTTTAACAATTCTACACAGAATACTTTGTATTTAAGCGACCATGTTATTTTGCTACTTTACTCAAATTACTGAAGGTGAACCGCGGCCACACGTTAACGCTAATTTGCAAACGCAATAGAAGCAAAGTTGTCCGGACCACAATTTGCGATCAGTCTGATACAGATGTGCAAAGATTGTAAATTCGGAATCTTTTCTTTTTATTTCCGCTTTTCGGCAATGTTTTGCGCGCCAGTTCCAGCCTACAAATGCTTGCGAATAGTGTTTCAATCGATTGTTGGCTAAAGTACACAAGTATGCGGACGAATTATACGGCGAGAGTGTTGTATGATGTTGGACTGTAAAGTGCGGATGAACGGAAGTGTGTTTATATAAAGGTATGTTTTAAATAAAATTAATGCACAGACATATTAGTCGACAAGACGCGTATGCGTTGGTATGTGAAGCTTCTCGAGAGAAAAAAAGGGCGAATGTAAAAAGAAAGATGAAACGGAATACTCGTTGTTTCCCCACAGGTTTAATGCCGAAGAATATTTTATCGTTAACATCGATCTCTATGGAGCTGATGTATGCTTGGGTCCTTCTGTTAATGATCATAGTCGTTAGATGGATTATCCACCTCTGATGCAATGTTAACGCGTTAATAAATAAATAATTCGCCCTCGTAAAAGGGCGGGAAGGGATACCGAATCAAAGATTAGCCTAATGTCTTCTAATAATCGCGTGCGTGACGCTGTCAACGATACGCGAACCGTTCACGATCAGGTGTTGTACAGGCCGGTTTTGAAATACAGATCGATTAATATATCTACATAATTAATATTATTTAATGTAAAGTGAGACACAGGTCGATTTTAACAGAGTTTTTCAAGACGCGCGGATTTACACCACTTTGAACATTTGTAAACTCCTACGCTGTATGAGGAACTCACCATATTACGAGGACAAACCACTTGCTTAGAATTTCTTTCAGGTGATGCACAAACGCTAGTGTATATTTTCGTGTTGAGTTTGAAGCAACCGCCACTGCCACGTTGAAAGACAAGCCTACGAGGAAACAAAAGAAGATACATTATGAATGAAACATAACATAAGCTCGCAACATCAGTATCTCGAAATTGGATCCTCGTCTCGCATGATGCGCGTCATCTTCAATCTTTCGTTGTTCGCTTCTACGATAATACGACGTGTCGCGCGTAATCGCTTATACATTTGCGCGTCGCCGTGCAACGTCACGGAGCGTTACATGGAAATTCAATGATTGTTCGCTGTACGGTGCGACATAGCATAGCAGATAATTGGGTGTTTTAGCGAGAGCACTAACGAATTAGCAAAGCGTCTATTTTTTTATAGATTAAGGATCAGTTTTGTTGCGTACGCCAAGAAGCGCGACGATTTCTTTTCTTTGTCTTCTGTAAGTCACGTCTTTGAGCGTCGCACGAACGTATGTACGATGTGGGGGGTGTAAGTGACGATTTACATTCGTGCGGACGACGAACGCGAGAACGAGAACCGAAATGCACCTCGGAGCCGGTGACAAGAGCCGATAGTTGCTAGGCACAGCCATTGCTGCGGATAGTCGTAGTCGTAACATTTCATTTGTAACATCATTGTAAGAGTATAGGACCGCGCTATGGAGGGGCGACGATCCCTCTTCTGTCACTGTATATCTTTAAATGTCTTTTCCCTCCCGTCGCGCAACCCCTCGAAGGTATATTGATGTGCCCACGCCCGGGACAACGCTTGACAAATTTAGATTATATATCCAATTATCTTACATTAAAAATTGTATTTACTATTATTAACTATACGATACGCGCTGTACGCAGAGGAAGAAACAAACTTTATTTACCAAATACCAGTTTTTTAATAAAAATCTTTTTGTGAAGGAAAACATCGAACCACTGCTACGCAGTTTGGTAAATTTGTGTTAAACTTTACATATATCGCATGCCCCAAACGGTCCACTCTAATTTTTCTGGTAATATTTTCTAACGCAATATGAATACGTTGATACGCGCACGGATGCCACATTAATATTTCAACACAAAATTAATGCACTCTTCGTTTGCACTTTGAAGTTAATTTTGTGGAAAATTAAAATTATATTTTTCGTGATCAAACAAACTTAGAAAATAAGCTATTTTTACTTTCTGTACGTGTGATTGTTCAAACTTTAAATGTATTTTCTTGGTTCTTTTAAGACGTGAATCTTTATCGGAAGTTTCAAGAGCAAGAGACTTCCAGAGATCTGGTTCTTGGCTTTTTCCTCTTACGTAAATTGCTGTCGACACAACAGGATGTATATAGTGTGGAATTATAATATATTTCATTTATCAATTCCTACAGGAAAAGGTTGTTGTACTTACTTAAGAAATCCGTCAAGTCATCGGCACGTCTTCGTCGATTACAGCTTCATGGGAAGGAATGCGGACATAACAGTTCAACGAAGTAAGTAGATGAAAATCATGCAACTCACTGATCAGAAGATAAGACATAAGAAGATAGCGTAGTCGCAAATAATCGCATTCGATACGACAAATCCCTTCGTAGCGGTTGAATTTGACAACTCGCGAGAGTACATACAAAACAACTCAATTTCTCTTTAATTTCCTGTTAACGCGAATGCAATATCAAGACACGCTTTCGCGATGTGCCGCGAGAACTTCTGTGTCACAGTATGAATAATCGATTATACGATTGCATCTGCGTCTTCATCTTGCTCGCGATATTACAATCGTCGATTTGTCATGCGAAAGTCATCAACGACACTCGCAGGTACTGACAGTACGTGATTTTCTTAAGCTACTCTGCATTACTCGCCCGTTTTCGGGTAATCTATTGTAGACTCGACGAGATTTTACACTTTCTGCTTGTCACTACTTGTTACGCTTTTATTCTTTGCACGTAAAATGCTCTTTTATATTTTACGTCGCTTGAAAGATTACGCGTTTCTAGAACGAAACGGGAGATTTCCATTGCTGAAACATCACAATCGATAGGAGACACCAGTTATGGAAAAGAAATAAACTTGGAACACGACGAGACGGGCGATGACGATCCCGAAGGGGACGACGCATATCGAGACAATACGAAAGAGAAACGTAAAGTCTCGAGGAAAGCCTCCGTCGTCTCCGTCGATCTTCATCCATCAAACTCTGAGGGGTCCTTCGATCGTGACGACGTGTCCAGCTACCTTAATTCGCAACACTCGAGTGAGGAACCAGAAGAAGTGGACGAAGAGTCAGCGGAACGCGATAAAAATAAAGAGGGAAACAATCTCGTGCGTCTACCCCGTGAGACAGACGGTGATCTTGACAGATATACCGATCAGGAGAGATCGAGCCTGTACGACGATTACGAGGCGAAAGACGTCGCGAAGCGTGGCGTCCTAAGTGGTCCGGAGGATTACGAGGAAGTAGAAGACGACTCGGCGGGAATGTCGGATGATGTAGCTGCGGTGCGAGAATCGATGAGTGAAGTCAAGAAGAGAGAAGTGCGGAAGGATGCTCGGGTGAAGAGAGACCAAGTGGAAATTTCAGAAATGCCCGATACGTCCAAGTCGAGTCCGGACAATCCAGCACAGTTAGAAGAGTCAAGTGTCGCGGCAAAAATCCCTTACTCGCGCCAAGTTTCTCGTATCGAATTGTCGAAAGGGTTTAACGAAGCGTCAGCATCCAACGACACGCCCAAGATGAAAGGTTCTAGATCGATGGGCGTAATCTCAAAGTTGAGCGATTCCTCCAAGTTCCGAGAGTCAATGGGCAAAGTTACTTCGTCTAAAAACGATGAATCAAATGCGGAATACGAGAAACGCGTGGAAGAGGAGATTCAACGGAAGATCGATTTGCTCAAGGAGGAGATTCAACGAGACATCGAGGCGCAACAACGGATAAGAGACATCGAGGACAACAATGCCAGGTTTGATGAGTTGCAGGATCAAGAGCACGAGGACGAGGAGAGACGGAATTTCAAGGATGAACCGATCGAGAAACGCCAGGCTGTAGCCAAAAGATCCGTACGCGAGATCGCCGACGACACGGCTGGTTCTTCCAAGAAGAACGAGAAGAAACGATCTTTGAGAAGAGAACTGCGGAAGAAGCAACCACATCGATCTAGCAAGATCGACAAGGGTACTTCGAAGGAGAACGAAGATCTGAAAAAACGATTCGTGGCTAATCGCGATAAGTCTTCTCAGCAAATTCCTTCGAAAGGACTCTTGAAAAAGAAACGCGAGCGTGTCAGGCAAGTTTTCTTGGAGAATAACGATCAGCATCAGGCCAAGAAGAGACAATCTAGAAGTTACACGCTGCCATCCTGCGATCGGATAGCCATTGGACCCGAAAAGGAATTATTCATGAGTCCTGATTCGAATTCTTATCACACGGACACCCGAATGGTAAGGTTTAGTGGCAAATGGACTAAAACTATCCACTGTTGCGCGATGTATTATTGATGATATAAAAATTGATATATTGCGTAAAATAAATTGTATAGTAATTGCTTAAAATTAGTATAAATATAAATGTTAGTATATAAAAATGAAATAAGCGATAAACAAACTGCTGCAGCTCCAAGAATCTTTGCCTGTTGACGGTGAAGACGAGAACAACGAGGGAGAACAGAATCCTACGATGGAACACTCGGATTCTTTAGTGTCTCTCACTGGAAGTTCGCGGGAATTGAGTCCACGTTTAGAGAAAGAGTACAAAGAGGCCTTCGGTGGATTACAAAGTGAATCCGGCAGTGCCTTAGCCAGATTCAAGAGGATCAAACGCGGGCTTGCAGGTACTACTGCAAAAATTTGAAGTTTTTGTCAAGATGTAAAATGACGAATCTTTCATTTACAATCTTCAGGGTAAAAATATTTTCATCGTACAAAATAAAATTATGCAAACGATATTTCTAAACTAAGATCGTAATAGCAAAAGATTAACTAATAGGAATATACCGGGCTAGATTTATGTAAAGAAATCATAGATATTAAAGAAAGCCGAATGCATTTGTAATTAGAGAACAGGTTATAGCTATAATAAAGTTAGATAGTGCTATTAATTACGAAATATTGCGAGTCGATTTAATTATAGCCGAAATAAATGATATGAACTCTCTTGACCAAGGTGGATAAACTATATTTTTTTATCACTAATTATTCAAGAATTTTATTCTATTTCTACGCCAGCTTCTATAATCTAAAAAGAAATCGGGATACACATTATTGCAGGATATTTTTGTCTTTCTTTTCTGTATTTAATAATTATTCTTATACATTTTGGCACAACATTTCATATTATATTTTTACATAATAAAAATTCATGAACGTAGCACGTTTTAATTCGACTTCAAAAGTGCGAAGAGTCTTGATATAAATTATTATGCAACTCTACGTCACATATTTAAAGTACAATTTATAATACGCACCATTTTTGCTCGCATATTACTTGACGGTCTCTCATGAGCGATTAAAAAAAATATATAAAAATATTACACACGAAATATTATACTGAAAAACTATCGGCAAATATTACAGAGTTTAATATAAACTTACATAGAAAATAGAAAAATGTACATGTATCAATCAAAATTTGCGATAATTTCTATTAAATTTTTCTTCTCCTCTGTACTTGCAAAACTGTATTGTACAGATAATATAGACAGTTCTTTAAGTTGTTTTGGCCCAATATTAAAAACAGAATTTAATATCTCTAATTCCTTTGATAAGCACGTGTTAAAAACACCTTTATCATCAGTCTAAAAAAAGTTTTTATTTTTAAGTGAATTTTCAACAATATGTGTTATTTTTCATACTTACCCCAATAGTTATAGGATGTCCAACTTTGTACAGATATTTAAATTGATGATGCATATAAGACGGCACTGTTTTACATTTAATGTTTGATGTCAAGCATAATTCTAGATTAGGCGAAAAGAAATAATACACATCAAAAGTGTCCATAAAAACATCTGTCTTTAAACAGGAATTATCAAAGATCTCTTACCAACAGGAATTTTGGAGTCCAATAGCATATCAAGCAATTGCTGAGAACCTTGTAAACTAGGATGAATACAAGTGCAGTGTCCCAATCGATCAGGTTTAAATTTTAGAATATCCTTTGTTTCCACTTCATTTGGCACCTATATTTATATATACTATATTATATATATTATACGTCTATAGAGAAAGAGATAGTTGATCATATCTAAAAAATAATTCACCTCTGCACAATGAGCCGTAATTCTGAGGCCTACTTTCCTAGACATTTCTAATAACTCTAAAAATGAATCGCCCGCTGTTGGATCGCCACTAAGATCAATACCCACAACATACTCTGGGTACTTCTTCGTAAACTCTATAGCAAGATTTATGTTTTCTTCTGCAGACTCGTAGCCTTGTTTTCGATTAATTGATACCAGTAGTTTTACAAGAATTTGTGGAAATTCAGCTTTGGACGCCCTGAACACATATCAGATATTATTTACTAATTGTTTCAGGGGAAAATTAAAAATATGTCATTAATATATTGTAGTATACATACTCGATAGCTTTTATCACAGCTTCAAGATATTCAATTTTTGTCATTGAATCCTTTACAGCACGAGGTGTGCTTCTCAATTCTAAATAAATCACATTGTCCTCGCGAAACTCTCTTATCACATCGCAAGTAGCAACAAATACAGCCTGCGGTGTAATTGTCAATGCATGTGCTGTGTCAAACATCTTAAAACATCTGAAAAATGATTACATTTAACGATTCGTGATCTGAATGGTACTTTGTAGGGAAGTAAGTAAAAGAATGCCTATACGTACTCGTTTAAAGATGAGAAATTGGTAATGTCCACAAGAGCTTGATCGCAAGTACCACCTGAGCGTTGCATCTTACATAATTTTTGTAACGTGTTCACACTTAATGAACCGTTTAAATGTGCATGGAGTTCCTAATCCATCAAAGATACAATTAACCGTTTAGTAGATAAAAATGTATAAAATTATAGTACTTATTATGCCTGTACAATAAGCGTCACTTTTACAATTAGACGAGGAACATAAAAACGTACCACTTTGGGTAATCTTTGGCAAAACTCCTGTATATCCATTTTACTGTTCACTGTACGTTCTGATTTTATGAAACAATTATTAATGTTTCATATTATTTCACGTTGAAAATGCAATCGAAGGTGTTTACATTTACGTTCACGAGTTGTTTGAGAGATAGATGGAGTTAGCTCACCATCGAGCGTGAATGAGAGAAACCACGTGACACACGGAAAACCTGTCAGATAAGATCAATAAAAAAGAATAGAATAGGAATTTTTATATAATGGACAATTATCTTTTGAAGGAGAAGATACCGGTTGATACAAAATTGAAATAATGGAATAATTTATATATTTATATATTTTGTACATTACTCAAGTATGTGCATATATTATATGGTATGTAATATTGTATATATTGTAATTTGCAATTTATGGATTTATGTACAATTCTGTTTAACACATTTATCTAATTTACATGATATATCTGTGTAATACACATGTGCATATACATTGCACAAACACATATATATATAATATATACACATGTACGAATTTACATAAATTGTAAATTATCATAAGCTATTTCTGGCACTTACATTATGTGTTTTTATACTTTTATCATATGTTCATTACATACGTGAAAAGGTTAAATAGCCAATAATGATTTTATGCCACAAGTTGTGATCATTTGTTTGATTTGCTGAAGAAAGTTACTTATGGACCACGAAGTTGAGCTAATAGAGCTTCATTTTTACGACATTCAATAGTAAGCTGTCTAACTGCCGCAACATATTTGCGTTGCTGCTCCACGAGGGTGACGAGTTGTCGGCTAAGCGTATCTCGTCTACCTTTTTCATCGGTACATCGTTTCTCCACCTAAAATATAAAATCCTCTTTTAAATTGCTATTTCTTTCATCCTGCAACATGAACTTATTGTTGAATTTATAAAATCAGAAAATTTTAAAGCGTACAGTATACATAAAGAAACAAAAATGTCCAGCCAGCATTTTTCACGAATCAATTCTTATAGAAATGAAATTGAAACTGTTATTTCAAATTAAATATGTTTATGCCTTATTCTGGCCGATACTACATATTGCACATTACCATCGCTTTGTTGCGCTTCACTCCTGCAACAATTGTCTCGAACTGTTTTAGAAATTGTTCCTTGCCACTTGTCGATGCCATAGCTCTGTCGTAAAACGTGTTAAATTATATATATTGTATATTGTAACATTACGGATATACGAAAACTATTAATATTTATAATACGTACTCATTATAGTTATCCTGAATGGAATTTAGTAATGACAATTCCTTACTTATGTACAGTTTGGTATCATCGAGGGTATTGTATAGTGTATAATATTGTTTAGTTTCTTTGTGCTTGGCTGAAACTGTAACACATCTCTTTAATAGGAATTTCTCGAAATTATAGATACTTATAAATTGCAAGATTGTTCTCGTATTCGTAAATGAAGATAAATTCAGTTAACCTTGATTATAGAGTTCCATAAAACGACGTTGATATTGCGTCAGTTCAGAGCGTCCTGGAACATCATCCAATTGTCTCGTTAAGGATGCAATAATTCTATTCTTTTTAGCCAATTGCAATCGCACTCGTGTTATAGCTTCCTTCTGCTCTTCATATTCTTTGACACGATCCTCCTCTTCCACTGGAGTACCGTTTTCAATCTCTTGTAACATACCCCGGAGAAGATTTAAGTCCGACTTGCATTGCTCTCGGAAATTGTGTTCTTGTTCCTTTAATCCCTCATGCACAGATAGAAGTTCTTCTAATCGTTTGAAGATACTAAAAGTTGAATAAAAATTCCTATTACTTATTTCACCCTTGTAAAAAAAGATTGACATGTATATATAATTTTTTTTTCAATCAATCGTAACTCTATTATCTGAATACCTGTCGTTATCATGAATTCCAATTTCCCGAATCTTTTTAAATGAGCGCTCAATGGTTTCTCTCCCCGCACGATGTTCTTTCACTTTTTCTACTATTTCAGCAAGTTTATCGGATAAGCTATCTCTCTCCTTTGTTAATTTGCGCACTCTGGATTGCAATGTCGTCTTTTGTTTTTGCAATGCAATTAGAGCGCGTGACGAATCCGTCGCGCCACCATCCTACATTAATAAAAATATCATGTTGCATGTTTCGAGTATATCGCGCAAAAGTACATTCTATATTTAAATCTACCTCTATTTCAGAAGTAGCCATGGCTGCATACTTTTCTGCCACTTTAGCAATTTCTTGCGCTTGTATGCCGACGATGTTTCCAACTGTACTTACACTTAAGCGTACCTACATAAAAAATTACAATACTATAAACTATGTTGCAATTGACAGTAAATGACTTTGTAAAAATTATTTTAAAACAGCCTTGATTGAACGCCGTTCGTTTTCCCAGTATAACATTAAAAAAATCTACATACCGAATTTTCTTCTATAACGGATAGAGCAGCGGTAATTTGTTCAGTCGTGTTCTAAAAAAATGTGCATTCATATACATAAACTTCTCTACTAATTTAAGAAATATTATTAAATAGAGAGTGGTGTATTTATAACTAATACCTTCTCAATTTTTTCATTATTTGACTCATTTTTCGAATCGCTGCTTTTAGACTCTGTCGATGTTGTTGCCGACGTATTTTTAACAGCCTCGAATGGTGCTTCATATTCTAATACTGTACCAATAAATCTATTTGATTCGTCTTTCACCAAATCTTCTTTTTGTTTGAACAAACGGCGTGGTTCATAAGCTTTCTATCATATATTAAAGAAACATAAAATAGCATAGCGCGTATCCACATATTCGTCAAGTTTCTACAACTAAATGTTTTTCGCAAAATAATTTGTACCTTAACTAAACGTAAATTCCTGACGATATTCTTATCAGCTGTTGCTCCAATTTCAGAATCGTCGCTAAAAGAATGCTTTTTGTGAAACTGATTCAAGGCGAAGGATCTCACAAAGTCTGCCATTTCCTGTCGCATCTCCATAGAACGCTTTACTAGCCACTGAATCACTGGGAATATATGGATACAATCTAGACCTTGTATTTGATGTGGTTCTATTCGGTACGGACAGTTCATTTTGGGGAGCATAACCACAATTTTCTCTGTCAACGAACTGCAATATACATATTTATATTTGACACACTGTCAAAGGAGATTAGTCAGTTATTATTAAAACATTTTGTGTACAAAAGGATAAAGAATAGAAGATATGAAAAATAAAAAGAAACATTATATGCTAAGTAAAATGTACATTTTCAAGTATGTATAATGGGATACATACATTTTTTGACCAATTGTAAGATTCTCTTGAAAAAGTAAATCCACGTCTACGTCAAAATTGCATGACTCTATGCACCAGGTCATGCCGCCGACAACCTAATAAACATTTCATTTTTCCAAATTACATACGAGTTTGATAAAAGTAAAAAAAATTTTGAAATAATTTGCGAACCTTATCGAAATTTGATAAACCTTTAATTCGCGCTCTAAAGTAACCCGCAGCGACAAGTAAGTCAATAATCTCTTGAAATTTAGTGGTTTGTTCCTCATCCTCGCGTACGTCAACCTAAGAACATGATATTTGAACGATTAATTCAATATATTTAAAATAATAAGTATACGAGTTTCATTGTATATGCAGTGTATTCCATTTGAGTAACTCATCTCAAGAATTACTTATGTAACTGGATATCAAGGTATATATTTTTGTGCACTTGATTTGTGCCTCCTATTTCAATTGGTGATAAATAAGTTTATTTCTCTGATACTCAGACACTCTGTCTGTTGTTTATCTCACATAAATACACCTTTTTCTGCTTGAATTTTTATGTATATTGGAAATTTAACCAATTTAACAGGATAAAAGGCTTGGATAATTTCAAGTTTTACAATATTAAGAGGAAAACAGATAATAAATAGCAAAACAACATACTTTTACCGAATAGATGTTGACTACCAGATATGGAATATCTTACCTCGGTACTCTCAGAACTTCTCAATAACCTTTTCGGCACATCGTTCAGCATATTGTAATTTTTCAGAGGTGGCACGCTTTTTTTTTATTTTCTACGTACGCGTATTTTAAATGAAAAAAGGGAATGTATTCACAATTTGTCTTAACGCTAACCTCCTGAGCGATCGAGGGCGCATCCGGCGCATTCGAAGGTCGGGAACATGGACCTAAGAATCTCTGGACCGAGCACGAAGTGGGAGAACGGGCAAGGGGGCTGGCAAATTTGCGGTAAGGGGGGGGCGAGAGTGCTCTCCTTTTCTGTCCTCTTGGTATCTCATGGTATCTCTTTCTACAAGAGGTCACTGTGACCTCTTGTAGAAAGAGAGGTCCAAGAGGACAGAAAAGGAGAGCACTCTCGCCCCCCTTACCGCAAATTTGCCAGCCCCCTCGCCGTATGCTCGGTCCAGAGATTCTTAGGTCCATGCATGATGCAAGTCTCCTTGCATCATGGGTCCATGGTCGGGAAAGAACGATGGTGCTGCGCCCTGCTTCTGCATCCGAAAGTGCGAATTAAGAGTACTTTACGCTCCGCGTCCAGATATTTCCTACGTCCGTGGCATAGAACTTATAATTCTATGGTCC